CTGATTCTGTTCGAAGTCCCGACGAGTTCTGTCCATTTTCTTGTGTACATGGAGTTTCTAAAACGATCATGCCTAGGCCTCAACTTCTGAGGTAATCAGTTACGTCTCATTTATTTTATGAAACATTACCTCTCCAGCTGAAATGTCAAAACCTGATTAGTTACTTCATTAGTTGCTACGGCTGCCTTTAGAGTCATTCGTGACCTTGAAAGCTCTAACTGAAGTCCCTCAACACATGAAAAGAGCAAGCCAATTGTAGAAATTGATTGATTTTCGCATGCAAAGGAATGCAGAATAACTATGAAGACCATGTTAACAAAAGTAGGTAGACGCATTTTATTTACTCATTTCAGTTTGTTCATAACATGTGTCACACAGTAAAGGGGGTATAAATTACTGGAGCACGTTTAGTGCACTCATCATCATCATCATCATTATTATCAACATAGGACCAAGCATTACTGCGTAACGGTTCGAGTTGCCACACCTCACGTCAGTTCATCAAGTAAAAAGGTAGTGAGGTGAAGGATGAAGATAAGTGAATGCAGTCAAAATAAATATAAAGTACGAGAAGAAAGAAAAGAGGAGTGACAAAATGGTGAGATTCGGTATAGCGTTGTTAAGATAAGGATAATGTGTGTATACATCTGCACCACTCACATCGGTTCTCAGCCATGCCATCACCTACAGTCTCCAACCACTGGTTCCTCTTGTCCCACGAACAGACACCAACCACCTAGTCTGCATCGTCCTACATGGCTTAAACAAACAGTCAGAGACTTCATACATTGGTGCCATGTTTTAGTCTGGCCACCTCGGGCCTTTTTCCAGCCTGGACCCACCTCAGCCAACATTGTGTGACGAGGCAATCGGTGACTGGGCATACGTAGTACGTGTCCCAACCAGCCATCTCAGTCGATGAAGATTCACAACCTCGTCAACTGACTTACCTCTTCTCCCCAAAACTCTACACCTAACTTCTGCATTACTCACATGGTGACACCACGGAATACGTTCTATACTACGAAGGCAATGGTGATCAAACACCTGAAGCCTTTTTATATCTTCCACTTTCAATGGCCATGTTTCACAGCCATACAGTAGATCAGAGCAGACTGCTGTGCAGTACACGCCACTCTTAATAGACAAACGAATATCACGGCGGCGCCATAGGTCACGCAAATTGGCAAAAGCCAATCAAGCCTTTTGTATCCGTGCAGAAATCTCATCGGCAACTAACCCACCGGGGTTGATCCTACTTCCCAGGTGAGTGAAGTGGTCAACACACTCAACCACTTCACTCTCTATTGTTAGCCGCGGTACCGTTGAAGACCAGTCCTTTTTTTTTCTGCCTGAAATAGCCTGCAATAACAACCGTGTCTGAACTTTTGGCTTTGAGAAGGAGGCTAGACAGTTTTCAATCGAACTCATCCTTCACTTCATTCGAACTGCAGTCACGGGGTAAGGAAAGAGACAACGGCGAATTTCACGATTCCTTTTGGTTCTAACTGCGCCCTTCAGCCGGATAGCACATGGGCGACTGTCAACTGGGATTCAGCCTAGTAGTGAGTTTTCTACCCCAGTGTCTAGTGACATGCCAACACCGACCACGAGAACTAGCCATCTAATCTCCCGAAACTTGAAGGGTGAATCTTGCAGATTCACTATATTGGCCAGGAGATGGTAAATGAATAACTACATATGGATCCCGTAAGCATGTCTCACAAACACAGCACGCGTCCACGGTCTGACTTGCTAGAGTTTTGACCAATGAATCTGGTTGACTAACTTCACGGAGGGTGTAGACATTGAAGGTTTCAATGTGTAATTTGGAGCGTGGTTTAGGGAAATCAAGCATGCTGATCTGTGGACTGAGATAGTTGTGGAAAACTCCAGAACTAGAGGAAATTAAAGATGATGCAGGACTATGATAATTTGACTGTTCGTGGCTAGCAGGAGAACTCAGTATGCGTGTCCTGTCCTACTTGGGACTCGTCAGCTGGATGTACCTACACCCCAGTGTTGTTACCACTGAGACTCGAACCTCGTACGCACCACTACAAAGGCTAAGGCGTTATCCTCTATGCCACAGATAAACGACGGCCACTTCTTGTACAACGGATGATAGTTATTACTATTTATTGACATACTTGTTATTCTCCGTTGTTTTAATTAACATTCAGGCAATATCGAGGCGTCCACATGGGAGCCCATATGCCAGTATTATTATTAATATTATTATTATTTGTCCCTTGGGTTCCTAATGGAACATAGGGCGTCAGTAGCACGTCTCCAGTGCCCTCTGTTCTCTGCAAACTTTTGAACCTGGTTGCACGACAGCCCACAAGCTCTCATTTCCTCCTCGCACGATCTCCTCCATGTCACCCTCACCTTGGACTCGCAACTCGTCGCTTCCCATCTGGGTTCCACTCGAGGACCTGACCTGGAGCGTGATGTCGTCCCCAGTCGACCTTCTCAGTGTATGCCCAATCCAATCCATCTCCACTTCCTTCCACCGCATATTTGTTCAGCGATAGCTTCTTGGTTGGTTTGTTGCCAGCCAGAGTTTCTTGTCGCTTATTCTTTCTGGCAATCCATCTGATCTTCAGTACCGAGCCAGAGTAGGCAGTTGTTGATGAATGTCTGTAGTTTGTTGGAAACGCCTTTCGTAACGCGCCAAGTCTCTGAGTCATACAGAAGCACTGACTTGACTTTGGTGTTGAAAATCCAGATGTTGTTCCACATGCTGAGTGCAGAAGATCTCCATACTGGTTTCAGGCTAATGAATGCCTGTCTTGCTTTTCCGATCCTGACTTTGACATCCTCATTTATGCCTGTGCCGCCTGTAGTTGAAACAGTGCTGCCTAGATAGGTAAAGGAGGCTACTTCCTTTAGGTTCCTCCATATTCCAATAGAGGTCAAAGAATTCGATCCAACAAAACAACGGAGAATAACAAGTATATCAATAAATAGTAATAATGATTTAGGATTGTTAACTGAGAGACGTGGAGGAAGATTAGAAGTCAGGAATGAGGGAGGTGGGTAGTGGTCTGAGGGAACCTGCGCGTTGGCAGAGTTTAAGGGCGGTTGACACTTCCCGGCTGGCCGTACCGTAAAACAATGGGTCTTCTTGAGGCACCTGAGAAAGAAGGGCTAGTGAACGACCTCAGAGCCCAGGCGATATCTGCTTGAGGCTGGCCATGTACGGCCTTTTTGATGCTACAACAACCGCCTTATATTATGAAAGATGTGGCTGGACATTCGTCTTGTGGCTGTGGTTCACCACTAACCATTGATGACTGATCTAAGCCACCATAATGCATCATCTCTTTGTTTAAGAACATATGAAGGGTAACTGAGTTTTGTCCAACTACTATCCAACAGACCTTTCTAGTATGATAAGACCTCGAAGGAACAGGCGTTCCACCAGCGTAGCTGATTGGGTCATCGTGATATACAAGCACGACCACCGCGTGAAGGTAGCAACTATCGGTTGGTAGATGAAGCTAGTGTGTGAATGCTGTCTAACCAATATGATCGACTCTGAGCCATATCACCTTCAATCTCAAACTGTGGTTTTTGATTATTAGAAGAACTCCAAGTGAGAATTCAACATTTCGCTACACACCTCCAACTAACAGGTAACGATTTGACGGCATCACGCTGTCTTAATTTGGATGCTCTTAAGGTTTTACGGACCGAACCCACTTTACTGCGACGCGACAAACGCTCCCATTATTAGCAATGTGGAAACTGAGTTCCCATCATGTCAGTCTGAGGAATGCTGGCTGACTGGCAGGAGTCCTTGGGACAACACGAACTAATGGTTGCAAACTAACAGTATTGTGGTTGGAAATCGTTCACATATTTATAGATTTACACACTTCTCATCATCTTTGAACTCTGGTGTACTTCGATTAACCTTTATACATTTCTTCTCTTTCCCCTTCATATACTGTAGCCCACACTTTTGTGTCATGCGTTTCCTATCCACCTCTTCTTCGCATGCCGCTGTAAGGTATAGCAACTTGGACCAATGGACTTCTGTGTGTGTCGGGCTCCATGTCAATATCGCTGTCTATCTATCATTACTTATCTTGTGCATAGATAATTAAGATAAGAGTGGCAACAGTGGTTTCACTTTTATCTTGGACACATTGAGAAGTGGTAGTTCGATACCTTCCTGCTTCACAATGGTGAGATCAATAGAAAGTAAGTGATCGACAACCCGTATCAAAAGAGATGACTATGAATTAAGGTGATTTACACCTCGCAATAGACGGTAAATATTTAATGGAGATCGTTTCATGCACGTGAGGTATGGGATATTTTATAAAACCAGTCGGCACCATAGCTATTCTAGATCAGAGGTATGTCAGATCAGAATTCCTTTCCAGATCTATTGAGTGTGTAGTGAATGTAATAACTAAGGCGGTTTGACTCAGTATCTAGAGAAGTTTTGTTGGCGTAAAAGTAGTCTGACTTTCAACTTTAAAGTGAGTAATTGTAAGTTTATACTCTTGTTCAAAGTAGTGAGATACACCTATTGAGTGAATGTCAGACTGAATAAAGTGTAACTGGATTTGAATCAGTAATTTAAGATCATCATTTAATAAGTATAATTGGGTTGAATTGAGAAGTTCTAGGCTTATCTCAGTCAAAGGTAGCACATGATACAGAAAGAGAAATGGGATGGTTGGTGGTCAGTTATCTTTTTTAGAATTTTATGTCTAATGGAAGAATGGGTTTATTGTGTTAAAAAACTTTTCTATTTAACGGTTGCATTTTTCATTAGAAAGGATTACAAATTGTACTAATGAAAAGAGAACACCAATTATATGTACGAAACCAATTTTTTGAGAATATTTAAGTTCACGAATACCTTTTCACAGATTCTGAAATATTGATAAATTAAGTGTTAAACGGGTATGACGATAATATTAATTGATATTTTTGCTTTTGTAAAATGGTACAGTAGAAAATTGTGATAATCTACTTACCGTACTCAGCGCCAACAGGAATCCCAACAATCCGCCGACAAGTACATCACTCCAATGGTGTTTATTATCTATGATGCGTGAATAGCTGACAACTAAGCCCAGGGCGAGGAAAATCATTTGAACTATTATCCTGATTCCCGGAAAAATACGATAATGTGCAAATCGTAACTGTATATAAAGCTTAAATAATCGAAAAAAATGGGTTCTCATTATTTTTTTTTGCCTTGGTAACCATCGCAGTTAACATTTTAAGTCAAGACGCGAAGAAAAAGAACTTCTTTCAGCTACGCTTTTAAAAAGTATAGCATCTGAACAAAAATTGATCACGTGAAAAAAACTTCCCAGACTAATCCCAGGTGTTTAACTTCCCTATATAACTTCTTGTAATTCCTCATTATAGATCGACTCGGTGATTCCATTCGATACTATACACACTATGCACTAAACTTTGCTATTGAGATGCTAAGTTGAAATTTTATTTTCAGAATTTTTTACTGTAATAAGTAAACTGTAGTAATAGTGACAATTCTTCGGTGTAATCAACACATAACTATGTTCAGCAGTAGATTATATTATGGTATAAGTCAATGAAAAGTTAGCCAAGTTACACAGAAATATGGAATTTATTGATTGTGTATCATCAATGGTTAGAATATAGTTATCTGAAGTAAAGGAACACATCTGCCATAATTTCACTAAGATTGAGTTTCAAATCTGGACTTCTCTTGAGAACCGATGCGTAGGATACGATTATTCGTGTATTTGTCAGTTTATTGATAAATTTAACCGTACCTATGGAGTCATATCTTAGAATATTATATTATTTTATTATTAGTCCCTTGGGTTCCTAGTGGAACATAGGGCTTCAGTAGCACGTCTCCAGTGACCTCTGTTCTCTGCAAACTTTGAACCTGGCTCCACAACAGCCTACAAGCTCTCATTTCCTCCTCGCACGACCCCCTCCATGTCACCCTCACCTTGGATGCGCAACTCGTCGCTTCCCATGGGGATTCCACTCGAGGAACTGGCCTGACGCGTGATGTCCTCAGTCGACCTTCTCAGTGCATGGCCAATCCATCTCCACTTCTTCCTGCATATTTGTTGCGTGATAGGTTCTTGGTTGGTTCGTTCCCAGAGTTCCTTGTTGCTTATTTTTTCTGGCCATCTGATCTTCAGCAGCGAGCGTAAGCAGTTGTTGATGAATGTCTGTAGTTTATTGGAAATGCCTTTCGTGACGCGCCAAGTCTCTGAGCCATACAAGAGCACTGACTTGACGTTGGTGTTGAATATCCGTATCTTGTTCCGCATGCTGAGTGCAGAAGATCTCCACACTGGTTTCAGGCTAATGAACGCCTGTCTTGCTTTTCCGATTCTCACTTTGACGTCCTCGTCTGTCCCGCCTGTAGTTGAAACAGTGCTTCCTAGATAAGTGAAGGAGGTTACTTCCTTCAAGTTTCTCCCGTTGACGGTGATTGGAGTTTGTTGTTGTTGTTGATGGTGGTGGTGCGGTATCTTCATCACCTCTGTCTTCTCTATATTCACCTGAAGTCCCGTCTTAGCTGCCTCTTCTACCAACTTGTTAGTTTTTGCCTGCAGATCTTCAAGTTTATGTGACATCAGGCACAAGTCATTGGCGAAATCCAAGTCTTCTAGGTTCTTTTCCGCAGTCCAGCGTATCCCCTCTTCTCGCTGCCCACTGTTTGCTGCATGATCCAGTCCACCACAATAAGGAATATCATGGGGGATAGTAGGCAACCTTGTTTCACTCCTGTCTTCACTTCAAAGGCATCACTCAGCTTCCCATTGTGGATTACTTGGCATGTGGCATCTTCATATAGTTGTTGAATGAGGCGGATAAAGGTTTGCGGCACTCCGTAGTATTGAAGCAGTTTCCAAATTACTTCTCGGTCGACGCTGTCAAAGGCCTTCTCAAAGTCAATGAAGTTGAGGTAGAGAGCTGATTGCCATTCTATGCTCTGTTCTATGATGATACGAAGCGTTGCAATTTGGTCAGCACATGATTTGTACTTCCTGAAGCCTGCCTGTTCCGGTCGTAGTTTTGAATCCAGTGCATCTTTAAGCCTCTCCAAGATGATGCGGCTTAATATTTTGCTTGCTCTGGGTGGACAGGAGAGTGATTCCGCGCCAGTTCTTGCAAACACTGAGGTCTCCCTTCTTCGGCAGTTTGACAAAGAAGGGAGACCTCAGTGTTTGCAAGAACTGGCGCGGAATCACTCTCCTGTCCACCCAGAGCAAGCAAAATATTAAGCCGCATCATCTTGGAGAGGCTTAAAGATGCACTGGATTCAAAACTACGACCGGAACAGGCAGGCTTCAGGAAGTACAAATCATGTGGAAACCAAATTGCAACGCTTCGCATATCTTAGATACACTATACGAAACCTTTTTACTAAAGAAAAAAGAACACCTCCGACATGACTACCAAAAAGTCAAGTAAAAACGTTATGGGTGTCGCACAGACACACTAAATCGAGATGGTTGACGTAATCTAAGCATTTTTGACAATTCGCAAGACATTGAACCATCTGCCAAACCTCTAAGGCTATCTTAATCTTACTATGTTATCGAGGTTGACCAATGCAAATCATTTGTTCTACAAGAGACTAGTTGTATCAAAAGGTGATCAATGTTGCAACTAAAATCACTCCCGCTAAGACTAGTGGAATTCACATTCACCTTATCTCTTGAAATAACGCCTGTTTCACGACGGTTTCATAGTTGGCTGAATTAAACAAAGTAAAATATTTCGTGCTCTCAGCTGTTTTCCTCTACATAAAGAATTTCGACAGAAAAACTTGGGAACCAACTTTTCTCCTGCATTTCTAGTAAACCTACGTGGGACCTTCAGGAATAAATTTCTTGGTCATGTTTCTTGGCATACCCTTTTCCATTCCTCTGCCATTAATTTATATACTTTGTACACTATCTTTGTTGTTCTCTACCTTCCATTAGAATTTCTACCACCTTGGGCTGTAATCTCATTCCTGTACTACTGTCACGTTGTATTCTGCTTTGTGCTTACTGATCCATTTTAAAGTCTGACTTCTTTTAACTTGTTCCATGTGTTGGTTGTTTAGATCGCGAAGTTTATCATTTATCTCTCTCCCCATATATATATATTGATGTTTAAGTTTGAAGGATGTTCACTACTGAAATGTATCAAATGACTTATGCTAGAGACTGATAGCTTAATGTACACAATTTAAATTTAGTGCGTACGTGGAATTCGACTTATCCTACAATATTTGTTGTTCTTGCTTTGCAAAAATTTATCAAGGGAACTAATTGTATGAAATATAATAAATACAGTGAGTAAATCGTGATACAATGCTGACTTTAAACGACTACTTACTACCCACTGGCAACTCAATCAATATATTCTAACTTATCCTGTCTGCTTGTGTCTGTAGAAAAAGGTTAATCTTGTTGACTTAAACTTAATGACCACTATGAACTTGTATCGATCTGTTTTTGATATAAACCTTGTTAGCAAATATGCAGAGGTGGTATCAGATAGGAATTAAGTGCAGAAAAGAGCCAGACGAGATATACTAAGGACTCAATCATCTTTAACACTGTTATACAGGGAAAGTGCCGATTAATTTCGTAAGTCATATCATACCTCAACTTAACCTTTTTTCAAAATAATCAATCATTTTTTCACGAACATATATACTACAAAAGAAATACTGAAGACAGAACTTTATGAAACTGCTAAACTCAGCTACTAAAAGGTTCAAGGTATGAAAATCTTGCTACACTATAAAAAGCCACATCTATTGTCGAGGTCAGCAGATGCATTGTTCGTTACTGAACGGTAGGATCTTACTGTTTATTCTTTGAGCCGAAAATAAGAGGAAGGTCGTTGGTTTTACTTTAATAATAGTGATGGTGATGATAATAATAATAGCCTTTTTCAATTCTAGATGATAACAGCATGTTATGCTTATTATAACACACTTTAACAATCGTAATAAGGCATGCTTAGCACACCTTCCGGTTTCCCAGCAACCCTGCATCTAAATTATTTCAGTATCTGCTTCATAGAATTTCGATTAATTCCAAGTCAATTTTCATTATACACTGAAATTTACTATTGAATTCATAAGAATATAAAATCCACACGAGATTGAACTTCAGGTTTCCTGATAAAACAGGGTAGACACTTGATTCCGCCTACTTAAATATTTCACTAGACTTATTCTAATTAAAATAGGATGAGATGATCCAAAGCTCAAATATAGATTCGAATGTTTAGATTTTCTGTAGACATGGTTGTATAAGCACCCATCTTGTCGCCTTTTTATTATCCAGTGCACCATAACTAGAACTTCTACGTGGGTGTCTAAATCATTAGTAAATTCGACTATATCTACAAATGAATTTGTGTGTAAAAAGTCTGCGTATATTCCCCGACTTCAGCACTGAGAATACATTTCGTTGACAAATCGCCATCATATTTTAGGAGCGAGGTCAAATATCCCGAAAACTGTCTGTTCCGAATTACCTTTAAATATTTCTGCTACAATAAAGGATATTTGTTTATGTGGTTGATTCTTTAAAATTGAAGACAGTGAAATTTACGCATAAACTCACTAACAGCCTGATTTCTTCAGTTGGTACTTTAGTTCTGAGTGTGAGTTCCTTCTCAGGATTGAACTCATCTCTAACTGCCTTCAGAGACATTATTGATGTTATAGTAAAAAGCTAGTTACATCACAACTACAAATTTTTTTTCTTCATTCATTAATTGTAGCTCATTAAATCTTTAATTCATACAAGTTCGTCACTGGATTTTGAACGATTTTCATTTCAATACAGTATCATTAAATATTTAGACAACTCACAACATTATGGTGTTTCTTAAGTCTACAATGCTGTTACTAGAATCAACTAGTTTATGAACTTTATTAGTATCACAAATTTAACTGGGAATAATAGACTCAGTCATGAAATTAAACGGCTTAATAAGTGATGAACACTTTATAACTTACAATGAAAGGACATAATGTGCATACAGTGGGTTTGACTCATGAGTTACTTTCAGATATTCGATGCCAAATAAGCTGAATCTTTAAATGGAGTTTTTAAAAACCAACATTAGAAGTCTATGTGCGAATTTTTGTCATCATTAGGGATTACGACATGACACTATTGTCCGTCTGTCTGTCTATCTTGGTGGGTCTATGGCTCATTAGACGCTAGACTCCACTTTTGAGACACTGGTCTTTAAACTGATCCATACACACACACACACACACATACACAAACACATAAGCAATCAAGCATTATCACCTCCTAAAAAGCAGCTACAAATGACAGTTTGGTGGGAAAATCTCCTAATGGTTTCTGAGTTGTTATCGATAATATTCGGGATATAATGCAAATTGTAAATCACCCACATGCCCACCAAAACAGATAGCGTTATCATGCCGTAATCCCTAATGATGAAACGTATTTGCTGACACACTTCTAATATTAATTTTCTGAATTCCATATAAAGATGTAATATATTTGACGTCAGATATCTAAAAGTAAACCATAAGTTAAACCATTATTTGCAGTCATTATCAAGATATATCATATCTGCTGCTTGAAAAAAAACTTTTTTGTTTTTATTAAACAACACCATATAGTATCTAAATCAGAGATGTTACCACTGAAGTCTTAAAATACAAGACATTATTCGACGAAATAGACAGGATATTCAAGAAAACTACTTCACTTTTTGAATGTTAAGATATAATCATCACTTTTCTAAGAAAATCACCTTTATCATGGATCGAAACTAGCTACAGCACCATTGGGAAATAACGAGCTCCGAACAGATGTCTCGCGATTCCTTAGTAATGCATGCCGATGATTCCACAAGAAATTGAGATTACGACTGTCGGGCCTTACAGTCAGCACGTTACTATTCAAATTAACAAAGAATGATATCAACTTTAGTGATGACTACCAGAAAGTACAGTCAAATTTATGGTTATCTGAATATAGCTTCATGAAATATAAATTTAAAGTAAACACCTTTTTAAGGGTTTAAATAAGTTTACTCGATTGAATTATGACTCTTGAAATGTATATTCAAAGATAAAAGTAGTTAAGCACTTACGCATAGAAATATAGCACTGTATATTGCAACTGAGGTGTGTCCAGACGGGAAAGATTTCCTATATTCAACAACAAAAAAATTCAAGCATAACCATTTAAGACTAGTATTAGTGCAAACAATATTTACTCATGAACAAACTCAAGCACATCTAACAGATAAGAATGATGGATTCACCTTCTTTCTAAGAAGCAAATAACTATCACAATGCATTTCTTTATTCAGTCAAAATCAATAAATCACAAGTTTTTCCGACACAATACTAGAGAGGTTTTAATAATAATAATATCGTTTGGTAACCATAAGAATTTTCACATACTGGCTTATGCACTTACTACACCCATTGGTTGCTTAAAACTTAGTGAAGTGGTATGGGTTGAAGGTTCAGTATCTTAGCAAGTGACTCACAGCTCTACAAGTCAGATTACACTTGAACTGAATAGTAGGCGACTTTTGAATGGAGTGTATGATACAACATAGCAAATTTTCCATTTGAATAAGCACTGGATAACTCCACAAACTTCAGAAATTGACCACAGAAATGCCAATATACTAGGGAGCTCTGTTGAAACTAATTTTACAAATGCAGACAGCATCAAATAATCGTTAGTGTCAACCTGAATAAGAGGTTTTACCATTAGTAGTGAATGATTACAAATCCAACTCTTCATCCCTTTGTCATTTATGTTGGCCTTTAGAACTAAAAGTTGTCTAACCTTTTGGTTTGTTTGTTTACATCTAGTACGCGAAGAGCTCTTCTTCAAATCACTTATCTGCATAAGACCCTTTAATGAGAACTTAGCTTCGTTTCTATGCTTTGATGACCTGAGATGCACTGGAGGTTTTGTGATATCTGGATCCCTATCCAGGAGACCAACAGAACTAGGAATGGCTTTTCTTCTGCTGCATGTCTGTGTGAACTGCCTACTGAACAATTTAAACTTGACACTCAAGATATTTAACCTCGAACAATTTCACAGAATTTCAAGCATATGCATAAGCTGTTATAAAAGAAGTAAAGCTTCAGCCAATAAATTTGTTCTGTGATATCATTTTCAGAAGCTGTACAAGTGTAATTAAATAAAGAATCAGTGTGCCAAACAATAGTTTCAAACTCAAACAACAAGAAAAGTCAACTGGGCTTAGAAATTCACAATGGTAATAAATCAATTATGAAAGTAATTGGTATACACAATTCACCCTTCCACTTCCGTATCACTAAGGTTTCAGCAGTCCATTGTAAAATTTTACTCTCACTTTTTGAAAGCTTCTTCTGAACTCTGTAAACTACTCTAAATGAATCATCTAAGATTGTACCTCCACTGTGGACTAAATGTCCTAAAATGAGGAATTTGATTGTTCTAAATTCACCTTTACTGAGTCATATATATACTGTCGTCTGACAAATATTAACGTTTTTTTGTCATTAAAGTATGCAAACTAGTTAACTATTTACCCACGATTGAACAGCTTCTGAGAAGGATACCAGTGAGAACAAATTTGTTTGTTGAAGTCTATCTTCTTTTATGACTCAATGGAAATACTGAAATCTCTCATGCAATGTTAACTGCACACCGTTATGTAGAAATGAAATAGTTCATTAGATTGTTGATCTATGTCAGCTGAGGAGCTTAAGACATACTTTATACATGTCTTACCATTGCAATTAACTCTATTGAGTAGTGACACAAAGGAATCATCGAAAGGAATCACAAAAGGAAACGACACTCATTCTCAAAGACCTTGACTACAATTCCTTAAAGATATGTGTTATTATTTGACCACTCATTGGTGTATAAATGGTGGACGGTATGAGATAGTGCCAGGTTCTGTATTCCTTTGCTTGAAGGCGGTAACTGGTCTCTAAGTCTATATTCAGTTAATTCAAATTCAAAGCGTGCAAAAATAGGGGTAGCTTAATTTACTATCTACTGAGTATATTTGAAAATGTTTGCTAACATTGGAACGAAACAGAAAGCAATAAGTCTTTATCAAAAAATAAGGGTGATGTGATGAATGTGATATAATTATGGGCAACAAAATGTATCTTAAACATTGTTTAGTTAATAATACTGCGTCACTGTATGCCAAATTTATTAGATATGGAACCAGAAAGGAAATCGTAGCATTCAGTGTGATCGACTAGCTGAAAACACCGTAGGGAGAGATGCATACCACACTTTTGAGCCACATCCCTAGTCTACAGAATCAATCACACAGCATTTATTTGTCGAAATCATCTTCGTTGACCAAGAAATCTTTAACTTCGTCTACCATGACATTAAAGAACAAGAACCATAATCAATTATTTCCAATGCCGGATGAAATTCTCTTGAAACCTACATTTCAGGACAATCTGGACCTAATTTCTCTATTCACTGGTGAACTAGTTTAAAATTGCATACTCTCCCTTCCAAAAGTGCTATAGGGCTTAGCCAACGAACAAAAATCGAAATAATATCGTTAAAAAAGGTTGGCATATGTTGACATTTTTCAAGAAAGAAGAAGCTTGCAAATATGGCATTGAATGACCAACAGCAAGTCTAAAGTTGTGAACTCTAACACAAGTTCTATGGACTAAAGAAATATACTATGGAAAAAAAAGTGCGTACTCAGAAACTGCTGTCGCTTATATGTAGATTTTTCAAACCGAACCAGTGATCCAACGCACAGACGTGAGTATTTTAGTTAGGGTAAACTATCCAGTAATACCACCAACGAGTTCATCTCTAAACCAGTGAGAGAGTTTCCCAGTGTGGAGATCACTCAAGTATAAGCAAATTAGCAGTTTATTATTTACTCAATAGCAAAAACTAAATGACTTTCTTGGAACAATCTTGACAATTAGTGCGTCAAAACATCCACTTTGATACTACAATAAGTTACATTAAGCGGAATCACATAGACCGAACAATACTGTTGATCAAACTAAACATGGTTGTGATATATATCGATTATATATCTATATAGCATCTTTATTTACAACATGGGGTTTGAATAGATAGTGTTTACTTTCAAGTTAAACTTTAGTCAGGCAGTATGAACACATGAAACATTTTGAGGTGCCATACCTCACGTCAGCACATCAAAGGAAAACGACAGAAATAGAGATAGAAAACGAAAAATCGAAGGCCATAGAACACTACAGAATGGTAAGAAGACAGGAGTAAGATGAAAGTGATAAAGCAATTAAAATGGAGATTATATATAGATACGTCGCACCACTGCAATTGATTTTAAATCATAACACATCGAAGTCTTCAGCCTTCGTTCTCAGATGTCTTGCAAACCTCAACCTGGGGTCTAAACTCTAACATCATATGATAGAAAAATTAAAAAAGGCACTTTTCTGTGATCTTATGTACTATTTTTTTACCATGCACCAGCATTTTGTCCACATATTATTGCATAGTTTCATTATGTTGTTACAGTGCCTTGTGTACCTTACCTTTTGATCTTAGTGTGGTAACAAAATAGAAAATAAAATACAGTCTAGACTTCTGGTGAATAAGATATGAAACATAGAGACTAAATGTTGAACCTTGACTGGTTAACTAGTTCACTAGTTACTAGCCGGTCCTAAGCCCAGGTAGAGGGAAGGTTGGGCATAGGGCTAGCAACCCTACCCCGGAAAACCAATCAAACCGCTAAGGAAACTTCAAAGCACAAACAAAATATAAAAAATACAAACAAAATTACCCTTCGCTGGAATCGGAGAGGCGAAATGACGCCAGCTGGTGAAAGCCTTCGGGAAGTCAACTGGCCGATGTATCTTCTCTCGATGAAAGTAAATGTGGGGATATGGAATGTCCGCACCATGTTTGAACCTAGCAAGGCAGCCCAGGTTGCAAACGAGATGAGAAGGTACAGCACTGAAGTGTTAGGAATTAGCGAAATCAGATGGAATGGAAGTGGACTCTCCAAACTGTCAACCGGAGAGTCAATAATCTAATCCGATATTGTCACCCAGACGACAACCACAAACACACGGAGGGAGTGGCTATCATGATGTCCCCAATAGCATCGAAGGCTCTCATGCAATGGGAACCAACCTCCTACAGGATCATGACAGCAAGGTTCAACTTAAAAGGAAGGGAAGTCACAATCGTACAATGCCACACTATGCACCCACAAATAATGCAAATCAAGAGAAGGAGGAATTCTACAGACAACTTCAACCAACACTGGACAAGACTCCAGTTGGCGACATTAAAATTCATTATGATGGATGATATGAATGCCGAACTGGGAGCGGACAACACAGGAGGAGAACTAACCATGGGTCGAGAACCGATAGGTGAAATGAACGAGAATAGAGAATTGTTTGCAGAATTCTGTGCATTCAACGATTTAGTGATTGGAGGCACTGTGTTCAAGCACAAGGATATCCACAAAGCGAGCGACATGGATTTCACCAGACATTGGGGCACACTAAAAATCAGATCGACTTTATCTCAAGTGCGAAGAAAGTGGAGACGCAGCCTACTTGACACAGGGTCAATTAGGGGAGATGTAGGCTCAGACCACTATACAGTGCAAGAAACCTTCCAAATCAAGTTGAGAGCCTTCAAAGAAGTTGGTGATAGACCACAGTTCAAGTTCAACACCCACCCAGAAACTGAAGAACGAAACTACAAAGGAAATCTTCACGGCAGTCATCAAGACAAAATGGGAGATATCCAGGGACATCCCTGAAGAAACCTGTGTAGAAGAACACTGGAAGTCTTTGGAAGCTATGTGGAAAAAAACCTGCATAACCGTATTAGGAAGGAAGAAGAAAAAAGATAAAGAATGGATCTCGACGGGTACCTGGAAGCTGATAGAGGAGAGGAGGATGGTGATAGTGAAGTAGAAGATAAACCAGTGCAAGGATGCTCAACGACAAGAGGAACTGAGTACAATGTATAAAACACTGGACAAAGAAGTGAAGAAAAGTGCACGCAAAGACAAAAGACACTTCCACGACACACTGGCAAATGAAGCAGAAAAGGCTGCAGGTAGGAGAGACACAGACCTGACAACACTGTATCAAATAACCAGGCTACTGTATGAGAAGAGATCAACACAGATTAAACCAATAAAAGATGATAAATGAAATTTAATTACCACAGAAAAGAAACAAAGGAAATGATAAGCTGACCACCTCAAAAGCTCTTTAATCGACCACCACCACCACCACCTGCACTTCGTCCAGAAATACCACCTTCAGCCACAGAACTACTGGTGAACACAAATCCTTCGACGAAAGTCGAAGTCCTGAGAGCCATAAAGCTACTGAAATGCAAAAAGCAGCAGGATCAGATGAAATCCCGCCAGAAGTACTGAAAACAGACGCAGAGACAACAGCAGACATGCTCACACCACTATTGCAGAAGGTTTGGAGGAAAGAAAGGTACCTGCTGGTTGATTGGAAGAAGGGCTGCCTTGTCAAACTCCCAAAGAAGGGAGATCTAAGCCTTTGCAAGAACTGGCGAGGAATCATGCTCATGTCAACCCCCAAGCAAAATATTAAGCCGCATCATCTTGGAGAGACTAAATAATGCGTTGGATTCAGGAAGTACAAATCATGTGGGGAACAATTGCAACGCTACGCATCATCATAGCACAGATTATAGTATGGCAGCCAACTCTGTACCTCAACTTCATCGACTTTGAAAAGGCCTTCGACAAATTCGACCGAAAAGTAATTTGGCAGGCAGTTGCTTCAACACTACGGAGTGCCACAAATCTTTATCAACTTCATTCAACAACTATGTGAAGAGGCCACATACCAAATGATTCACAGTGGAAAGCTCAGTGACACCTCTGAAGTGAAGACAGGAGTAAGACAAGGCTGTCTACTATCACCCATGATATTCCTGATTGTGGTCGACTGAACTGGATCATGCAACAAACAGTGAGGAGCGAGAAAAGGGGGACATGCTGAACCAAAGAAAAGATCCTAGAAGATTTGGATTTCGCCAATGACTTGTGTCTAATGTCACACAAACTTGAAGATCTACAGGCGAAAAGTAACAATTTGACAGAAGAGGCAGGGTAGGGCAGCGAGGACGGGACTTCAAGTGAACGTAAAGACAGAGCTGATGATGACACCCAACCAACACCACCACCAACAACAACCTGCTCCAATCACCATCAACGGGAGGAACTTAAAGGAAGTAGCCTCCTTTACCTATCTAGGCAGCACTGTTTCAACTACAGGCGGCACAGGCATAAATGAGGATGTCAAAGTCAGGATCGGAAAAGCAAGACAGGCATTCATTAGCCTGAAACCAGTATGGAGATCTTCTGCACTCAGCAAGTGGAACAACATCTGGATTTCAACACCAACATCAAGTCAGTGCTTCTGTATGACTCAGAGACTTGGCGCGTTACGAAAGGCGTTTCCAACAAACTACAGACATTCATCAACAACTGCCTACTCTGGCTCGGTACTGAAGATCAGATGGATTGCCAGAAAGAATAAGCGACCAGAAACTCTGGTTGGCAACAAACCAACCAAGAAGCTATCGCTGAACAAATATGCGGTGGAAGGAAGTGGAGATGGATTGGATTGGGCATACACTGAGAAGGTCGACTGGGGACGACATCACGCTCCAGGTCAGGCCCTCGAGTGGAACCCAGATGGGAAGCGACGAGTTGCGAGTCCAAGGTGAGGGTGACATGGAGGAGATCGTGCGAGGAGGAAATGAGAGCTTGTGGGCTGTCGTGCAACCAGGTTCAAAAGTTTGCAGAGAACAGAGGGCACTGGAGACGTGCTACTGAAGCCCTATGTTCCATTAGGAACCCAAGGGACAAATAATAATAATACTTCTTTACAGCTTTCCTTTTCCGCAAAGATTTGTCAAAATGACTGAAAGCTGCTGTAGGTAAGAAAAAGCAATCACTTTTGACCTACCCAATACTAAGTTGCCAGTGAATATTCATCATTTTATAAATTTTATAGCTGAATTCGATGAAGCAGTATATTGCACTTCACAGAATAATTATTCAGCCAGTTACCGAATCTAAAATCTTTCATATTTCCGCACTATTTTTAAATCCCACCAGAATAGCTTTCATTGATGGGATTTCAAGTCAAAAGTAGAAAAACTATGGAGTTTACCATAATGAAGAGTATATGCATCGGTGGATACAATTTGTTCACCTTGAAATTAAGCTGTAGAGCTGCATATCCAAAGAGGCAGTGTAAGATAGTGGTTAGTGCGGAAAGAAATTGTCCCTCTTTAATTACGACAGAAATAAAATAAAACTGAAATGCCTTGAACGACCACATGCACCTTCATGTGGTAAGTAAGGAACTACATTCATTGTTTGCAAAGAAAAGATACTCCCTCGTTCTTTTAAGTACTCATTGGAGGAGTATGATTCGTTAGCATGAATCACGTGTTGAACTTGGAATGCTGAGACTGATAAGCTTCCATCGGTAGCATTATCATGAATACCACATTCTACAGATTTTACATCAACTAAAATGACTATTCAGTGGTTGCAGCAGTTCACTAATATGTTCATGGACAGCATATCAAAGATTGTTATGAACCGAACAGCAACTCAAAACTACGCAAACATGTTAAATATCTATTGACTCAGGTATTATCTAAGGCCGTTCAACTTACATCAGAGGTCTTGCATTACTCTTTGAACAAGTATAGTCACTTATAAAACCCAAACTGGTATTTACGAGGTTGGATGGTTGGCAAGCATCAACAAAATTTGGACGTAGGCGACCAAAAGCAACTTTTCCTACATCTGTGAGGCCAATAGTAGCGAAATAACCGAAAAACGCAACAATGAGAGAATCATAAATCGGATACAAAATCTAAAATATCAAAGAATTTGTCTTGATTATTGAATTAAACTAACCACTGGGATTTTGCGACGTGTTGTTTTTAAAGTTTTCAAACCAAAAACCACCTCACCCACAATAATCTGAAAACATTAAAAAATTAACCGACGTTCCGAAAAAATAATACCGTAATAACTATGAGTAGTGCAGATACTATGTAGAGAATAGTACTTGAGATGGTGGATGACTTATATGGTTTTTTGATTGACTCATCCTGAGGAAAGTAACCCATTCGATATGGATCAATGTTTTGCAGCACAGTATTGATGACTATTACTATAAATGGAAAATATTTAACGCATAAAATAACAACAATAATTACACGTAACAATGATTGCCAGTCTGATACTACTCTAACTATTCCACAGATTAGTGGTTTCATAGCATATGAAATAATGAGCTGCAGCAAATCTCCAATACACTACCACTCCTGTATATGGCAGTCTGAAAGTAATAAAGAGAACTTCTATTACCATACAAACGAATAATGAAAACAAGTTAATTCGGAAAAAACTGTTTGACAAATGTGCTGTAGAATTGCTGAAAAATGCATAATTTTTTAGAATGACATTTTAAAGAGAACAATAAACAGATTCGAAATGCGCCTAAATTTACCTACATATAGATTCCAATTATATAGGGTGAATAACCAAGCTTCCATACAATACATAACTGTGGTTCACTGGTTTTAGTAATTGACGTCTAGTCACTAACTGAGAGGCTTCAACCCACTACACGTACCAATGTTGGGAAGCCAAGTAGGATCAGTAACCTTTACACAATTAGGGCAGCCTATTGCATAGTATACAAACATACATGTGGTCACAGGGTTATATTTTCACCAAACAGGTAGAGCAAACTAAAGCTCAATAAGATACTATTTATAAACGAAATACATTTGTAAAATCACAATGAAGTAGAAAAACTAATTTCTGACGCTTCAATTTATTCAACTCTTGGGTGAAATATTGATTCTTAAGTTTGTAAAGTTATTATTATTTGTTACAAACAGTATTGCACCATGTGTAAGCATGAAAATGAGAATCAGAAAAGTACATATACTGACATAAAGCCCACACGAAAATGTAGATGAGGAAAATCCACACGAGCAAAAAGAAACTAGGATAAGCAAGACAAGGATAATAAGTCAGAGGGAATGTGAGGTACAAGAATCTAATCACAGTGAATGAGGAAACGTGTAATAACACAGACACCTCTCTTAAAACCCACTGTTTATTTACTGGAATTCTTTTTATTTCTAGAAATTTTCTGTACAGGTAGGCAAAATCATCAAAAATGCATTATTTATGGGACAAAATGGTTGCCATTCAGAATATATTAAACAACGTAATTGAGTACTTTTACCAATGCCAAAGGAAATGGTAACACATAATTTTAATCCAGTTCTGACGACCTGAGTAATGTGTGAACTCAACAGAGTAAAAATTAGGAATTCTCTCGTCTTATTCCCTACCTTTTATATTCTTTTTATCATGTGTGGGTAGTTGGGGTATTTCTGTGAAGTCCATACTCTTTGTGGTAGTCTTTATATCCTGCTGGCGCTGTAAGTCGAGTAATTTAAAAACCTTACCAAGCTTGCCACAAAACAGCCAGTCGAAAATGATGACTTAAATAAGGCCAGCAATGCTTACTTGCTACTTAAGACATATACTAATGCAAATCACTTTCGCAGTATCATGCAAGATTTAGTCAAACTTTAAGTTATTCATTGTCGAATTTTCGCTAAAAGTGTCGAAAAGACTTTGTATCTAACGTGTTTTCTCATGTCGCTTGTGCACTCTATCTCTAACTAGCCAATACATAGCATTAATTTATTACCGAACACACTGAGCATTATGCTAATAGTGCTCAAATTTCGATTTCTCCTAACAGTCATTATCTAAATTCAGCCACGCGAGGGAATGTTGGTGAAAGACCTTATTACTTTCATAATTATGGCATTCGTGGTCATTATCAATAAAAATGCAGCTTGCGGAATATTTAGTTAGGACAGATGTTGCCTAGGACAGTACTAATGCACTAAACTCCCGCTTACGATAATGATTGCTGTTCAACAGTGGATATGGTCAGACTTTTAGAGGCTTCTCTAAAATTGAGTTTACAGCGAACAGCGATGATTGGACAAGTTTTTTTTTGAATAATAATAAAGCTATATCCAGTTTATAGGCTTCAGGCGTTTCGGCTTTCAAGTGAACTTTCATTTGTACACTATATAATGCGCAGAATTTGGTAGAACAATAGTATCCTCAGTGAAAACGTTCTTAGCAGTAGGACAAAAAGTCGGAGATTAAGGAGATTTAAATAATTGTTGGACATGTTTTAATTAATTTGACTACAGGTTATTACAGAAGTGCAACATGATACACAGCATGCACTATGACGTAAAAAAACAGATCTTATATGCATGAAAGCAAATCACACAGTCAGAAATCATCCCCACTAAAAAGCAATAGCTACTTACATGTGCCGCGATAAATGTGATAATCTCAAACCATGCGCGCTAAAGTACAAAAATACAAAGCCAGACGAGAAAGTAGTCTAAGAAATACTGATGACGAATCTTCACGTAATACAAACAGTAAAATCGGAGTTTCTAACGTCTTATATCTTGAGCAGAACAAGGTGATGGTGAGCATGAAGGTGAAACTGGCGAGCTCTACACCTAATGACGAAGTGACTGCACATTAATCTCCTAAATAGAAAAAGATGTAACGTTCAGAAGAAATAAGGAATGCTAAAGTCCATACATATAATTTACTCACTCTCGATGGGAGTCAGTGGATGCTCAAAATATTTTAAAATTCCTTATACTGAGCACACATTCCAACATGGATGATAACTATTTCGATTGGCCGTTACATAAACAGTTCATAACTGAGATACCTAGAATACTAATCCCCTCAAACTTTTCATTGAAGATCTTCCACTTCACACCACCAAAAACACAGCTTTTTAATGGAACTAAACTAAAAACAATATTCTTCTGTCCAAAAAGCAAGCCATGAAAGGCATCCTGTGCAGTGAAATTCGTGCCTTATATTCGAAAACTTAGTTCCGTGTGTCATGCGAGATCGGTGCTTAAGGAATTGTTCTGGTGCGAACTTGACAGACGCAAAGACCAATCACTAATTATTCGGACTTGTTATATACCCACGAATACGAGACCGGGAAAGAACACAACAGCATGGTCGGACGGAATAGTATATTTGGGTGGTTGTGCTAAGATACCGATGCGTTCCAACTGACTGGCTAGGGAGTTGAATACGAGCAGCGCAACGTAACATGACAGCGTGTTAAATGGCGGGGATGCTTGACCGGGTGCCTTCAGCTTAGCGAGTCCAGTTAAACTATCAACGCCAGCATCAATGTCGAAAGTCGTCAAACCCTAGGCTATTGATTTTGGGGAAGTGTGTGACGCTATGGCGACATCCACTGCCACATTAACGATGAATAAAAACTCTGGTGGGTTTAGCAGCACTGATATCGTGAGAATACTTTGGGAATAGTGACCGAAGTTTGGAACTGCCTGTTTTAGCTGATGAGGATAACGTTTGTTTGGCCGCTATAAAAGCGTTCAAGGCACGAGAAGTTGTCATGGTTGTCGTTCCAAATAGCGGTCCCAGCATTCGTCGCCGGCCAATGATTGACACAGCATTTGGCTACCGATGAAAAAGGATGAACAACGGTCCTGGCTGAAAAAAGTGTGGCTACCAAGATGTTCTGTGTAACACAACCAGATAACCAGTTGACAGCTAATTTCCATAACTAAAACAGATATACGGAAAAGAAGACGAAAGAGACAGCTCAGAGGCAAAATATGAAAATAGAAGTGGGATGCTTTTCTCTGAGGTGTTGGGTGACGTACCCCAGGTACCCAAGTATAGATAGTTCGTTTATACAATATATGAGACTGTTTACTGTAATATAGTGTTGTGTTTTCTGATGCTAAGAATGGTTGGTTAGTGTTTGGTGATACAGGTTCGCACTGAGATTATTTTGAATGGTTACAAAGTACATTATCAAATCCTAGCTAGGGCAAGGGGCACGCAGAACGTGGAAACAAAATACATGTATTACTATCATTATTATTATTATTATTATTACCCTTATCATTATCATTAGAAGGTGGATGGCTGCTACCCGTGGAGCCGTCGGAATATTTTAGGTCTTTTATGGATACATTATCATGCATAAGTACTTGAGGTAGTAAGCGCTGGAAAATTGAGGGGGATAGCTGAACAAGATTGGTAACCGGGTGAAAAACAGCCACCAGGATGAGCCTACATACATGTGTAGTATAGATGTGCGAAGCACTTGTTGGGAAAGATAGTGAAGGAGGATGAAACCATTGAGACCTTTAGATTAGTATCAACCATTAGGTAGCTGAAGCTTCTGAAGAAAAGACAGACCCAGAGGTTTAGTGGTCCTACAGTCTCAGCAGAAGATAGTCGCTTAGGGTTGTTATCGGGTATTAGGATATCACTTCTGTGAGAAAGGAAACCATTAACTTGGCTCTTGAAGCACTCCATTGTCGGGCTCTGTTCAGTGGTGTAAAGTAGGCGATTCCAGAGTCAGGAGAAGCGAACAACTAGAAGTTAACCTTAGACTAACTCAAACATGTGCACCAGGTGATCCTTACTACGCAAGGTGTAGGCAGATAAGGCCATAAACTAATATTGTCATTGTGGTGTAGGCTTTATTATGAAGCAAACGATATAACAACAAACGCGAATGGATCTGCATTGGTAACAGCAACCCTGACTTGGTATTTGAAGTATCTGGGCAAATGTTACCAAAACTAAGTCCTGTCTCAGACCCAGGGCTGAGATATTTCGGTGACTTGAGCTTCTCTGAACGGGCGGCGTAAACCAAAACCAAGACAAGCAGACTCCTAGGATGCATTATTGTAAATTTTATAGTACTGAATCAAATGTCTTGCTCTACAAAGTATGCATCCGTCGAAATCTGGAATAGTGCCGCTCATTTTTCATAAGCAGCTGTTGCACAGACGACAAACTAAAACTCGAGTGGGTACAACTGCACTTTGTATTGGAAATGCTGAGAGCTGACTGCATCTCCAGATGCAACATGTCAGGACTAGAATCTCTCCGGAAGAAGCGACTTAGAATGAATCTCAGATTTTATTATAAACTCAGTTGGTAGCAAATGCACCAATGCAGCTCAGAAATTAAAATAGTTGTAACCCCTACTACACTATGCGTAATCACAAGCTACCAGCTAAAACTGAGTGTCGTAAGATCAATGTGCAAGGTAACTTCTTCCTAAATAAGTCCTCCTACATTTGGGATAAACTTCCTGAGGAGAGACGTACTGCGGGCTCATTATCTATCTTCTGTTCTTCACTTAATAAGCTCCTCACAGATGATAAATCTATCACTCGCTTAGTCCCTACACATACGTTCTGGGCTAGTGAAAACATACTGGGACCTCTGAACGTATACGGTGAGGCTATCAACAATCCCAAGTAATCTTGACCGTAGTGGGCCCAATCATCTTTGAGCAGGACGTTTGATTACTATTCTACCAGCCTGGGTTGTGTAGTCAGTAAAGTGCACATCATAAAAGTACATATGTGCAGTCAGCTTTCCCTGTACGTCTACAAATAAACACGAAATATCTAAAACCTTGTACGAACTTTACGTAGGAAAATCATAAGAGTTATCCTTGTACGTATAAACTAAAGTGTACATGTGACTCAAGCGTCTTTAAGAAGACAGGAACTTCTCTCTTCCCAGTCCGTTTTGTGTGGTACATCACTCTCCGGTTTCTGCTTGTGCTTTTCTTTTTTCTTCCCTGTTCAGCTTAAGAGTGAAGAGAAAATCCTGGGCACTGTTTTGACCAAAAATCTACTACTTCGTACGTGATACCGAAAGTTATTGAAAGAACTCGTCAGCTGGTTTTCCTCTGTTGATTTCCAATTTTCTACAAAGTTTCACGACAAACTCACGCAATTACCAGTATCCTAGGTGCTGCCGTAGGCGAAAACCCAACTACTATAACTGGTCTAAGGCTTCTGGACGGTCATGGTGGCAGCGAAATTGTGGAAAAACAACCAAGTCTGAGAAATAAGCTCACCTAGTGACTCAAAGTGAAACTTGTTCTCAGACAAGCCCACGCAGCAAACTTCTCCAGTGGTTTATCCTATTTGACTCCGTCTGAAAGAAGACAATTTACAGCCAGTGTAGCCCCTTGATAGTGCTGCACCCTTTATTGTGACTTCTACGTGTAAAACTCCATTACCGTTGGATGAAAGCCCTTCAAATGTTTATTCCTTTGTACTACAACAATTAAGTCTGACTGCTCGTATCGATGCTGCTGTGTGAGGACACACTACGAGTGGGAAATGCGTGGACTCGTATATTCACCTAAGCTATATGGTTATGTTAACACCTACCGTTACGTGAAATCGAAAAAGTAAGTTTCTTTGGCCAATGATACTATAACCATTTGAACTGACGTTAAAACAAGAGTTTATCCGACGACACACGGAACTATGCCTCCAGGTTAAGCATCTTGGTCACATGTAGCGGAAACTTCGAATATTGTGTTGTTTTGGTGCCACCTTATTGTGAAAAAAGAATGGTGAGCGGGAACGACTGAAATTCATAAGCAGTCTGTATGTACTGTAAAGCGATATTTTTCCCTCCTTTTCATAACCTGCGGTCACTTTTGTCACCACGATAAACATTGATCCTATATCTTCTGCACTATTCAGGAGGGCCCAACTAAAGGAGATTTCTCCACCATTATCGATTTGATGATGCCTGTACACTGGCTTCTCTGATGCTGAACTCCAAGTTGGGGGATAAAATGGTTATTTACTTATTTAAGTCGAGAGCCCGCCTCCTCTTCCACAGGGGACGCAGGGAAGGTTGTTTGCATCCGTTGTCGTGGCTTGGTTTTGGTGCATTACTACTCAGGCGCCCGGTAAGGAGTCACTGAACCCCCTTACTTTCAAATTTATCGCATTCTTGTAAGCTACTTAAGATGAGGTAATTTTACAGAATGTTACGAATACGAACCGAATATCTGCACTTTCAACTCCAGCATCGGAACATAATATATTTGTTAAAGTGCGTCTACCTGGCGTCCAAAATATCTTGTCCTCAATTTTTCCAGGTGGTTGCAACATTGTGGCTGTTAGGCATGACACTTTCGTGGGCCAAAGATCTCAAATTTAGCAATTATCATGCTTCGTTTCCTGCGGCACTATTCTTCTCTCCTTACTCTAGATAACTCTTGTCAGTGCAATAACACTTCTACCGATAGCTAGTAGTTCCAGCCGGGCTTCGTTTCTTTAAAAATTTTTTTTAGTTATAAGCCAACCAAGTGAGGTGTTTCTCCATGATGAGGAATCAAAGCGACACAACAGATGGAAAAAAGAAGCCCGAATATATTGTATATTAAGCTTTTAGGAACATAGAGTTCATGCTTTCAATGTGTCTTAAGATGTAGTCAGATGGGTAAAAAGGAACTTGTGACATTTGTTGTGGGGTGAGGATTTATGAGTAAGTTTCCCTAGCGTGGTGGACGAAAGGTTAATGCAGATGTACTAGTAGTGTTAAGCGGATATTTTCAGGGCCCAATATATTCACTGTCATAGGGGATACTGACAGCTGCCAGATAATAATTTGCCGAGTAACCGACTAAATCCAGTGATTGATTTGAATGCGTTAATTTCAATAACAAGTCGATTCCAAGTTTGAGATAATTTATCGGTGAAAAAATTTGCACGAAGGGGGTACTTAAAAAGCTTCAGTGTGATGATGTCGGCGTTAGAAAGCAGGCACGGCTATGTTCTAACTGGAACTCACCACTGGCCGCAAAAGTCGATGTTTTGGTACATCGAAGAAAAGCTATAGATCCATCCTGAATCGTCTTATAAAGTGTGGCTCTAGATTTGGAGTCATGCTTACGGGCTTGTAGTCAGACATCCTTTCATGTTCTGGTGAGTTAGATGTAGAACATCTAGAGATACCCTCTGCTTGTAATTTGTCGTTAGCCTGTAAACCACTCAAAATAGGTTGACACCATTCTAGCAGGGGATGTGTCCAAGTTTCATGGTGTAGTAACTTGTCCCCTATGACGCTGATTGGTATGAAACGCGAAAAAGATCCCTACTGCCCTTGTAAGATCGTTGCATTATAAGTGTTTTGGCTGAAGTATACGGAAAACTACACGAAACGGCCCTCGCAAATTGGAATCAGAAAATCGTGCCCAAAAACCATTCACAAAGTAAGATAATTTAACTGAGACCCATGAAGTTCAAGCGAGTTATTAGATGGGCAGTTTTTGCCGCTAAACTTAAGGGGAACGCTTACTGTGTATCTGTACTGCACAATCCAACCGGATGAACCAGTAATCAAACACCCCTCGTGAGTTCATTAAGGTAATAGATACTAAAGACTTATGATAGCTTCACTGTGTACGTTTAGATGTCCCGGTATGCTCTCACTAGCCCAGAACATATAGATAGTGCCTTGGAGAGTGATAGATTCATCATCTGTGAGGAGCTTATTCAGTGAAGAACGAAAGGTAGATAATGAGCCTGCAGTACGTCTCTCCTCAGGAAGCT